GTGTGTGTGTGTGTGTGTGTGTGTGTGTGTGTGTGTGTGTGTGTGTGTGAGAGAGAGAGAGAGAGAGAGAGAGAGAGAGAGAGAGAGAGAGACACATCCAAAGAAAAGAACAAAGGCTAGTTTAAGTATGTACACTAGGGAAAAATGGTCTCATGTACCGTTAGGAGCTCTCTGTACATCAAGTCCCTAACACAAGGCTTTGAGTGGAAGCCAAAATCACCACTCTGGCTCAGGAGCCTGTACTCTGAAGACCTCCAACTCTTTTTTTTTTTTTTGAGTCAGAGTTTCTGTGTAGCCCTGGCTATCCTAGAACTCACAGTGCAGACCAGGCTGGCCTGGAACTCAAATCCGACTGCCTCTGAGGCCTCCTAAACTGAGATTAAAGGCTGTGCCACCGCCCAGCTATCTAACTCTTAAGAATGAGTTTACACTCTACACCCTAGATTAAAGGAATGCATGGCTTTTTGTTGTTGTTATTATTAGTATTTATTGTGCATACAAGGCAGGATACAACTTCGAATACTGTGATTGGTTCTCTTCTGCTTTACAAAGGTTCAAAGGCTCCAGGGACTGAAGCAGACAGGTTGCACAGCAACTACCTTTATATCCGAGCCATCTCAATGGCCCTGGTGTTGTTTGGAAGCAGGCTCTCACTCTGCAGTGTAGGCTGCCCTCAAATTCATTCCTGACTCTCAAGCCCCTAGGTGATAGGACTGCATGTCTGAGCCACTGGGCCTCATCTTTTTTTTTTTTTTTTCTGTGAATGAGTGTTTTCCCTGTATGTATTCATATGTACCACAAGCATGCCAGAAGAAGACATCACATCCCTTGGACTTGGAGTTAGACATGGTTGTGAGCTGCCATATGGGTGTTAAAAACCAAATCCAGGTCCTCTGCGAGAGCACCAAGTGCTCTTAACCACTGAGCCATCTCTCCAGCCCAAGGCAGGACTCTTCAAAATGGTTTGTTTGGGGTTTACAAGTACTCCCATGGGGTGTGTATGAAAGAGAGAGAGACAGACAGAAAGAGACAGAGACAGAGTGAGTCAGGCACAGGACTAGCCAATGAGGAAGGAAAACTGATTTTTTTTTAATGGCTTATTTTAATTTTATGTGCATTGGTGTTTTGCCTGCATGTACATCTGTGTGAGTGTCAGATCCCCTGGAACTGGAGTTACAGACAAGCCTGGGAGTTCTGACCAAAATGAAGACAGAATGACTTATCTCACATAGCAATAACGTAGATCCTCTTTCTACTTCTTACCCTTCTCCCAGAAGACTGGCTAGCACTTGCACAATATTCTTGAACTACTTGAAGATTAAAAACAAGACAAATACTGGGTTTTTATTTTTGGCATAGTATTTTGAGGGGGGGGGGTCTTGTTTTATTTGTGGTGCTTGGGTTGAACCCAGGGCCTTGTACATGCTAGGTCTTAAGGGCTCTACTGAGCCTAGACACAATCAAGTTTTAGTAACCATTAAGTGGGTACGCTATTATAAATCTAAACCAGTGCACACTTTTGATGCCAGCATTCAGGACGCAGAGGTAAGCAGATCTTTGTGAGTGAATCTGAGTCCAGCCTAGTCTATAACAAAGAACTATAAGACAGCCAGGGAGACATAGTGAGGCCCTGTCTCAAAAACTAACTAAACAAACAAACAAACAAAACCTTAGTATACAAATCTGAACCAAGAGGCTTCTGCTTCTACCCCAATAAAGGCAATTTACAGGGGATGTGCAGTAAAGCAGTGTCTGCTGGGAGCAGGTGACTCAAATAAACTCAGGGTGGCAGCAGACTAGCCCCTGAGCTCTTCTTTTATCAGTATGCCAACAGCTGGTTATGCTTGGGGCTGCTGAGTCACTCCCACCGAACTGTGTGAGCCTGACCAAACATTGTTATGTCCTCGTCTGTAATAGGGCATGTTTCCTCCCAGTAACAATAGCAAAGGGCGCTCTACAGTTCTTATCTACTTCTGGGAAGCCATCTAAGACAAGTCTGTTTCTCACGGCACAAGTGCCACCTCATGGGCCTGTGAGTTGTCCTCTCCTTTGGGTGGTAATGAGTTAAGAATGAGCTCTCTGTATTCTCCATTTTCGTTGTTCTTGGCTTTTATTAGATGCCACGCTAGAAGCGCTCAGCTTTCAATAGCCTTATTAATAAGGGGCATGATCATTGGTCTACAAACCAGGGCCCTGTACATGCTAGGTCTTAAGTCACACTGTCGTTTATTTTTACAGGCGCCCTGTAACTGATTAGATTCTCTCCTTTCCACCTAGGTAAAGATAATTGCTGGACATCTATTACCACCAAGGACAGCTGACTCCATCAGCTTCCTTATTCACTTCTGTCCTGTCTTCCTGGTCCTCTTCAAAAACCTGGGCAGACGTCATCAGAGTGCAGAAACTGCTTCTCAAGTGTTCTTTTTTTTTTTTTTTTGAGACGAGGTCTGGCTAGCCTGGAACTTCAAGTTGGCCTCAAACTCAAGAGAGATCCTCTGCCTCTTGAGTGCTGGGATTAAAGACAAGTGAAACCACACTCCATCTCAAACATTTCTTTAAAAGAACTCTTGCTTCTTGCTGTAGGGTGTCTCTCTCCCAATTCATATGTAAAAATTAGGGATCGGTGGTAAGGCAGACTTCCTTGGCACCTCCACACCCACCTTGTACAGCCCTCATGTTCTCTGAGCTCAACCCCTCATCTCCTAACTAAGGAACCGGATCCAGAGACAGGAAAGACACTGGAGCTGAAGAGAAAAGTGGGCAAGAAAGGTCTGTCCTCACCAAATGGCTTATTTTCAAGAAGTCACCAGGAGATAGAAACACACTAAGATTCCTGTGAGTAAATTAGAGAAAAAGAATCTCCAGTCAGCACAAACTCTGACTACTAGCCTACAGCACTAGATAAAAGAATCTGTTCGTGGTAGAAAATGCTGAGGGCTGTCAGATAAGGGAGATAATCCAAGAATCCAAAAAATGGCAGTCAGCTAAGGCTTACTGTATCTAAAGGTCCCAATCCTAAAGGTGTGACTGTAACTGGACCATAATTTCAACTTGGCCTAATTTAAATCTTTCAATAGTCTTTAATAATTGGCAAGATTATGGCTTCCTGCTATCTGTACAATCAATCAGTAAGACTAAACCTTTTGGTACTGCATCAATGCCACAGGCCAGATTATAACTCTGACAGGCACCTTATAATTTCCAATTTAGTTTGATCATCTTGTCCACACAAGTACAGGCGTTCTGCCACAATTACTATATAAACAAAACCAACAATTCAGTTCTGCCTAGGAACTTCAATTTTCAACACTGGACCAAATAACCTCAGGATGTTGGTGCGCCTCAGTCCCAAGGAGTAACCATTTCAAGGAGAAGCCTTAAAAAAAAAAAAAAGACTACATTCACAGCCAATTAATGCAAGGACTAAGGCACAGGGGTTGGAAGAAGGCTCAAGATTGAGAAAACGTGTTGCGGTCACAAAGAACTGAGGTTTGGTCCATCTATAACTCTAGTTCCAGAAGATTCGATGCCCTCCTCTGGCTTCCATGGACACCAGGCACGCACACACGCACGCGGTGTACATACATACATGCAAGCAAGCAAACACTCACATGCGTAAAAATAAATGAAGTCTTTTAAAAGAGAAAATAAAAAAGCAACCCTATGAGCCACCTGAAAGTCTGAAACTACTACGGAATAAAGAGACGTAAACCTGGATAGACTTAAATAATTAAACGCCTCTGAGTCTGTTCTTCATCAAGAAAACGGAAAAAGTACAACTTGGTGATGTACAGGTCGTCAAGCGCCGTAGTTAGGAGACTTTCTAATAAGAAAGAAAGCGGGTCCTCTTCATTCTGAGGCAGAGCATCCCAACTTACTTCTTCCCACCTTCCTGAAGACAAAAATGAGACGGGAAAAAGAAACCTCATCTGCTTGGGGCCCAAGGCTCGCAGAGGCCGCCTGGGGCCTGAGGCCAGGCTCAGGGGAGAGGGTAGCCAGCATGAACTCGCAATGTTTTCCACCTCCCGCCTCACGGCCAAACGGCTCCTCCTCCAAACAGTTTAGAACCCTGCCTGTTAATGCCACAACCGGGTGGGTCACAACCCGCCCGGGTCCATCTGCCCTCCTGGGTTTACAAGAGATCAGGACACAGCGCTGCGGTCTGCCCTAAGCCCTCCCAGCTGCAGGGTTAAGCCCAACCCCCGCCTTTCCCCTGACCTTGGGGCGCCTGCAGCTCCCCGCCCCGCCGCGTCCCGTCCCCCCGAGAGGCGCCTTCTTGAGGGGCTGCCTCTTCCAGCTCGGCTCTTCCTCCCATCCCCCTACCCGCCTAAATTTAGGACAGGAAAAGCTTTAGGTCCTGCGTCCGTCTTGTAGGACCGAACAAACCTCATCCCAAAGTGGAAAGGGCAGAAGTCGAAGAAGCAAAACAGAAAAAAAAAAAAAAAAAAAAGACGGAGAAGGAGTTAGACCGGGGTTCCAGAGAGTCACCTCTCTCGCTACCCACAGGGTCCAGGTGTCAGAGGCGGCGCAACCTTCTCCCCGCCTCCTCCGACCGCAGAGCAACGCAGACGGAGCCTCGCACCATCCGGGCTCCGTGCGCCCCTCGGCTGCGTCGCGCCGATCCTCGGGCCCAGGGGCCGCGGAGAAAAGTGCGGGTCCCTTCCCTCACCTGGGGCGGAGGCGCTCGCTCATGGCAGCTGGTGAAGGCGAGCGACGCGGCGCCACTCGGCGCCGACAGCGGACAGACGGAGTTGTGTTCCGGCGACCGCCACGCCCACCCCCACGGGCCTGGGCTCTGGCCGCCGCGCGGGTGGAGGCTGCGGGCGCTGAGTACCCCGCAGGCCGACCCGTACCACCGCTACTTCCGGCGTCCCCTCCGCGCCCCCCCATGTCGCAGGCGCCGTGGTACCGTCCTCCTGCGGCTGCGCAGTGGCGGGCCGCGGGGCCGCGCTCGCCCGTAACCCCGCCCTCAGGAAGAGGCCCGTCCCGAGAGGGAAAACAGACCTGGAACTTCCAGGGCTCCGGGTAGGTGTCCGAGGCACCCGCCTGTGTAAAACCAAACCGGGACAAGCTGGAAATGTCAAGCCGGGTTGGAATAAATTAAATGACTGGACACTAACGGATGCTTGTATCTGCGTAAAATCTCTGGGAGGTGAAATTTTTTAAAAAAGCAAGAACCGGGCGAGCTCCATCAGGCACTGACGCGGACGGCCACAGGTTCTGGGTTCCATGGTTGGAAGGTGTCGGGGAGCTGCGGGTTCGAAGGGAGCGCCACGTGGAATTCCGCGTCTCCGGAGGTGCGGAGCGGGTTCCGTGGAGTATCCAAGGGCTGCGCTGTTTTCCACGAGCTTTGTTGTAGGTCGAGAGAGGAGTGCAGACGAGGCGAACGGACTAACGGAGTCCCAGCCCCGACCGGGAGCGGTACCGCCCACCTGCTCGGAAGAAGCCGGGCAGAAAGGTGTGGGGAGGCGGGCAGGCGTGGGAACGCGGCGGTGAGAGCTGGCTCGGGGCGATGTGAGCGCGATCAGAGGAAATCACGCGGTCCCAGCCGGGCGTGCGTGGTGCGCACCTGTCACCCCAACCCTTGGGAGGTGAAGACTGGAGGACCAGAAGGTCAAAGTCATCCTCGACTAGGAAACCAGTTCGAAGCCAGTCTGGGCTACTTGAGACCTTGTCTCAGATGTAAATTTTTTCATTTTATTTTTTTCAAGTGTATTCTGGGCCCGGGATACTTGGGGAAGTTTTAACTCTGGTTTTCAGAAGCATCCCCAGGTATCTGCCAGGGGCATAATCCAATTATTTGTATAGGACTCAGTACTTGGTCACATCACAGCCGTCCACTTAGTTCTGATCGTTACAGAAGTTGACGTTCAAAGTTTCTGCCCCAAATACGTGAACAGTGATCCACAAACATGGGGGTCTTGAAGAGACGACTGCAAGAAGTCAGGCAGGAAAACGGGCCCCTTTGTTGAGATGTAGGGTATAGGGCCAGTCATACTAACGCTAGTCTTTAATTCCAGCACTTAGGAGGCAGAGGCAAGCCAATCTGTGTGAGTTCAAGACCAGCCTAGTCTACCTAGAGTTCCAGGGCAGACAAGGCTACATAGTGAGATCCCATCTCAAGAAAAATTAGGAAAAGGTACTGTTACAACTTGAAAGCTTATGGATTGGCTTTCATGTGTGCGTTTTGCAAACAAGATTACTAACAGTAAGAATAATCACTGTGGACTCACTCCTCAGAAAACAGTTTGATTTTGCATTTCATGAAGGATAAAGTGCTGGTTGATTTAATAGATACTTTGTAAGTGGTTTCAGCTTCAGGGTTTTTTGATTTTTGGGGTGAGGGAGTTGTTTTGTTCTTTGGTTTTTCGAGACAGGGTTTCTTTGTATAGTCCTGGCTGTCCTGGAACTCACCAGTAGATCAGGCTGTCCTCAACTCAAGAGGTCCACCTGCCTGTGCCTCCCGAGTGCTAGGATTAAAGGCGTGTGCCACCACACCTGGTTGTTGTTTTGTTGTGTCAATTTATTTAAATGGCCAGAAGATATTTTCAGTCTTGGTATTAAATAGTTGTAATATACATATTTATTTACTCATTCAACAAATGTCATATACCAGCCTTAGTGTTAGAGGCTTTTTTGTTTGGTGTGTGTGTTTTAATGATGATGATGATTGTTTGAAAGATGATGGTCTCCTTGTGCAGTCCAGGTTGACATTAAACCACCTCAGCTTCCTGAGAGCATTCAGAGGTAAACAGTATGCTTGGTGATACTAGATTTTGAGAATGTAGCTATGCTAGGATAGATATGTTCCTTGTTCTTTGGAACCCAGCTGAGCTTTGGAATTAAGCATTCTCCTTTCCCAACTCTACAGGGTAACAGAAATAAATGATGTGTAATAATAAATGTTTGAAAATATTTTTACGTGATATACATTTACCAAAAATCTCAAACTAAGCAATTAATAATGGACAAATTTATGTGTACACAATAATCTATTGTAGTACAAATTAAAATTAAAACAATTGGGGCCAGGTGGCACACACCTTTAATCCCAGCACTTGGGAGGCAGAGGCAGGTGGATCTCTGAGTTTGAGGCCAGCCTGGTCTACAGAGGGAGTTCCAGGACAGGCAGAACTACAAAGGGAGACCCTGTCTCAAAAAAACAAAAATAAATAAATAAATGGGGATTATGTCCTTCTGTACATTGCTAGTTTTAATATGTATGTATTGTTGATATTAATATTAGCAGAGATTAATTTCTCCTGAGTTATGAAAACCACCCCATTCCCCCCCTCCCCCTGACGACAAGATCTCATGAATCCCGGGCTAGCTTCAATCTTTCTCTAACCAAGGCTGACCTAATTGTCCCATCTCCACTTCCAAGTGCTGGGATCATGGCTCTCTACACAGCATCAAGTCTTGTGCAGTGTTGGGGATAGAACCCAGGGCTTCTTGCTTGCCAGGCAGGCGCTCTACCGACTGAACCATATCCCCAGCTGACAAAGAGAGTTCTCATGAGTCCTCATACCCAGTGAATCTTGTTTATGTAATGTTAGAAACTGTTCTAATCAGTTTTTGTAGCCCGCATGAATGTTATTATCCTTCCTCATTCCATCCTTGAAGGACAAGTTCAAGAAGAGTGAATGTGATGTATTGAAGAGTTCCTGAGAGCGGGAGAGGTTCCAAGTGAGGAATACCCACCTGGAGGTTTCTTTTATCTCTTTACTAAGTGTACGTATATGTGCCTGCATGAGTTTGTTTATATGAGTTTATTTATACTATGTGTACACAGTGCCCCAGAAGGTCAGAGGACACTAGATTCCCTTAAAACTAGAGTTACAGGTGGTTACTGTTAGGTCTCAAACCCAGGACAAATGGCTAACAAAGGTGCCTATTTAACATAACAAAAGTGGACCTGTCCCATAGGTTCTCCCCATCATCCCTCAGTCCCTACCTGTTACAGGGTATGGCTGGCATACCCCTTCCCCTACCCTGAACTCTCTAGCCCAGGGGGTAGGCTGCCCTTCTCCCAGCTGCCCTTCCCTCTATAATCCAGCCATTTTGATTACCAGGCCCTTTCATCTAACCTTTACTTTCCTGCCTCTCCCCTCTCCCCTCCCCTGGCCCAGCTCAGGGTCATGTTCACTCTGGACTGTCACAGATGACTCTGCCTCTGGTTATGTTCTCCCTTTTACCTACAATAAACTTTCTCTCCACCATACCTAGGAGCAGTCATGTCCTTTCTTTATTTCTTCTTTTCCATTCAGTTGTGAGCTGCCTGGTGTGGGTGCTGGGGAGAGAACCCAGATCCCCGCAATGGCAGTGCCGTGGGCACTCTTAACTGGGATAGGTCTGTCTGTGGACCGCCAGCTCCCAAATAATGACATGGAGACTTACGAGTCTTATGAAAGCTTGGCCTTAGCTTAAGCTTGTTTCAATTAGTGCTTATAACTTAACCCAGTTTTTATCAGTCTATGTTCGGCCACATGACCCATTCATTACCTCTCCTCAGTACTGTATTCCAACTACCCTCACGTCTCACTAGCAAATCTCTCACCTTGGATTCTTCCCCAAAGTTCCTGTCTCCCCAGAAGTCCTGCCTGTCCCCTCCTGCCTAGCTATTGGCCATCCAGCTCTTTATCAAACCAATCAGAAGGTGCCTTAGTCAGGTGAGGTAAAACAGAGACATCTTCACACAGTGTAACCAAATAATCCACAACACTCAACTGCTCTTAAAAGCCCTAAGTAGTTCCTTTTTTCATGTGTAAGGGTTTTTAAACCATTTCATTAAATTTATGTAACCTCCTCTTGACATAATAACAAAATTGAATTCTGGCTGACATTTTTAATGTCTTTGCCTTTGACTAAGCATTAATTAGTTAGATTTAAATCTTCTGGTTTGATTTTGTTGTGGTTATTGTTGGGTTTTTTTGAGATAGTCTCACTAATGTAACTCTGCTGTCCTGGAACTACGTAGACCAGGCTGCATAGTGAATTTGAGGCCAACCTGAGCTACACGAGAGCTTTTCTTTTTTTTTTTTTTTTTAATTTTTTTTTAAATTACACTCATGAAATTCATTAATTACATTCATGATATTAATTACATTTGTGGTATTCATTGATTACATTTGGATTATCCATTCAATAATTACATTTATGATATTGTATTGATTTATTACATTCATGATATTATGTCATGATACTACTGTCCATTTGTGGGGTTTTTCCATCACACAAAACAGAAATTCTGTACTTAGGAAATCATTGCTCTATATTCCTTTCTTCTCTGTCTTGAGATAACGTCTAATCTTTCTGTTTCTGTGAATTTGTATATTCTATATATTTCATGTACTACAATTCTATAGTATTCTTCCTTTTTTTTTAAATGTAAAAACAAGAGCCTATCTTAAAGGCAAACAAAATAAAAAGTTAAAAATCTATGCATAAAATCATTACTCTGTATTCTTCATTGTCTCTCCAGGAAGAGGATGGGTGATGCTGGTCCCAGAATGGAAGTGTGTCCTTATTGTAAGAAGCCATTTAAGCGATTAAAAACCCACTTGCCACACTGTAAGATGATATCTGCTGATCAAAAAGTGTATCAGTCCAAGCCAGCTACACTTTCACGTGCTACAAAAGAGAAGAGGCCTACCAAAGACCTAACCAAAGCTAAAAGGAAAGGGCTAGAGACAGAGAGTGTGAAAGGAAATGTGAAATCAGAAAAGGGCAGATCAGCATGGACAGCTGCCACCTTTCCCCTGCCGGCGGATGTCTTGGAAAGAGCGGGTACAGCAGAGGCAGGAGGAGAAGCCAGAGATCAAAATCAGCCCTCCTTCCAGGCACCCAAACATGCCACGCCAAAGGTGACTCGTGCATCAGACACCCCCTCTCCTGAGAAAGAACTTGCCAGAGATGTGACTGGATCCAAGGGAAGTCCATGTCATCCCTCAGAGACCGAAGCGTCTGTACGGGTGGGCTCAATGGCACCAGTTTTATCTAATCAAGATAGAACATACTCCTCAGCTCAGCCTCATGCTAAACCAGCCACTTCTGCCAGTCTGAAATTGGACACACTCGATCCCCAAAGACAGAAGCTTCTGGCAAAATTCTTAGATGTGCCTGTTAGTGATTGTCATTCTCCAAAGAATGGCAGCCATGGGGTTCCGAGAGGAGGATCCTCAGTGTTGAGCAGGGGAAGCATTTCCCGAGACGGAGGCCACCTCTCAGGAGTCTCTCCCAACCCTGCCAATGCTGAGACTCAGCAGAAGTCAGAATCACTCCTCTTGGGCCTTCATCCCGCTCCACTGGCTAAAACACAAGTCAGAGAGCACCAGGAACTTGGCCTCGGAGCAGAAGTGTGCCGTAGCAAGGGAGATACTGGGAACAGCATGTCTGCCACAGAAGTACAGGAACAGGCTTACTTAGGCCTTGGTGGTCAGGACCCCATTTCCCCCACAAAGGCAAAAGCAGAGACAGCCCTTGCACTTTTGGACGTATTTACTCCACCAGAGGGAACTTCGAATAAGCTTCTCTCTATACCAGAATCAGGGCGCCAGTGCCTCACCTCTCTGGCTGTGAAGTCTCCTCCAGAAGACAAAACCCAATTCTATGGCCAGAGTCAAGTCCCTGCCATACCGCTATTAGTGGGAAGCAAGAGGGACGTTCTGGAACCCACGTCTTTCCGCCAACCCCATGCAGCCCAGACAGGGTACCACATACCATCATATTCAGCTCCGTACCCTGTTTCTAGAAGCTCCCTCATCAGTCATGTTGCTGCTGCTGACTCAGAGGTTCCTCCCCGGTCCGTGGGACTGGAGTGGTTTCCAGAACTCTATCCTGGTTACGTTGGTCTAGGAGTATTGCCAAGGAGGCCTCAGCATTGGAACTCAGTGTCTCACATGCCTCCTCCTACCACTTCCCAGGGTGCGAGTATCTCAAAAGGTAAGCAGGCGCGTTTGCAAGGACCATCCTGCCCCTCCAGAATGCTCTGCCTTTGGAATAGGGGTGAGAATTACTTGTTTTCATTCAGTTAACATATTCTCACCTACACAGTCTACCTGACACTTGACTTAATTGACAAAAGAGAACTCTCAGTCCAGGGTTGATTGTAATGTTCCTTCTTCCTTCTCCGTTGAGAGTTGAGGGTTAGACTCGGGCAGGCTGCTGATCCTGATAGCAGTTAAGTTTCTGTACTGGAAAGAGGCCCAATAGAAGTTCGATGGATAAGCTCAGAGCATGGGAGGCACATGCCTTTAATCCCAAGCACTTGGACACAGAGGCAGGCGATCTTTGAGTTCAAGGCTAGCCTGATGTACAGAAAGAGTTCCAGGACAACCAGGGCAACACAGTCTTGAAGAAAAAAAGAAAAAGGAAACCTGATGGGAAAGGCCGTAGGAGATTAGATTCCAGTGTTGCTGAGCCTGATGGGAAAGGCCGTAGGAGATTAGATTCCAGTGTTGCTGATTGACAGGAAGAGGAGAAGGGCCTGTGGGTGCAGAGAATGGGTCCTCTGTGCTCCGTTCATGATCTCGGCTCAGTTTCTTTCAGTCAACTTACCTAAACTTGTACCTGGAAGTGAGCCCCGCTTGGACAACTAGAGAAAATAAAAAGTCATGGTACCACCCAATTCCCAGCACGTCTGAGACCTCAGCCTGACAGTGGTAGTTTTCGACAGGTTACAGTCTGTGTTTGGAGTTGAAGTCTATCTCCAGGCTTTATGACTGGTCTTTTTATTGTTTTGGTTTTGGTTTTGGGTTTTCAAGTATGCGTAGATACTGGGGTAAAATGTGCACATGAGTGCAGTGCCTGTGGAGGCCAGAAGAGGGCATCAGTCTCCCTGGAGCTGGAGTTACAGGTGGTTGTGAGCTGCTAGATGAGGGTGCTGGGACTGAACCCAGATCCTCTTGGAAGAGCAGTATGCATTACTTACCAGTTCAGCCATCTTTCCAGCCCCATGATTTTCTTTTTCTTGTTGGGATTTAAGAGACTTTGGCCCTGCACAAATATGTACTCTGTGATTCCTTGGATGCCAATGTGTTTTTTGGTTTTTAAAGATTTTTTTTAAATGTGTATGTGTGGTAATGTATATGTGTACATGAACTCACATGAGTTCATGTACCATGTACACCACATGCATGCAGTTACCCATGAAATCCAGAAGAGGGTGTCTGATCCCTAGGAACCATAGTTCAAAATGGTTACAAGCCACTACATGGGTGCTGGGAACCAAAACTGAGTCCTCTGCGAGAGTAGCAAGTGCTCTCAGCTGCTGGAGCCCTCTGTCCCGGTCCCCAAGGTGTGCTTTCCATTGTTAGGTAAGAAGATCATTGAGCACTTTTGTGTCCACAGCAGCCTTCACCACACCTGCTTACCCCATCTATCTTAATTTATTCTTTTGTTTTGTTTTGTTTTTCGAGACAGGGTTTCTCTGTGTAGCTTTGCGCCTTTCCTGGAACTCACTCTGTAGCCCAGGCTGGTCTCGAACTCCTTTTTTTTGAGACAGGGTTTCTCTGTGTAGTTTTGGTGCCTGTCCTAGATCTCGTGCTGTAGACCAGGCTGGCCTCGAATTTAAAGAGATCCTCCTGGCTCTGCCTCCTGAGTGCTGGGATTAAAGGCGTGCACCACCACTGCCCAGCTAATTTATCCTTTTTCTTGACAAGCCAAAACGAGACTGGAAAACCATGACCAGTAGGGATCACTGCCTGACTTGAGCACAGGGGAACACATGAAATAGAAACGTGTACCTTCTTTTCTGTTTCTACTGGTTACTCATGTGTCAGTGTGATGGAAGGTCAACCAAGGTGTGGCCATGGGGCACAGAACAGACAAATAAAGATGACTGTGACAGGGAGTCGGGGTCTTTCTAAGGTGTGTCGATGGTCCCTAAGTCAGGTCCACGGGGCTCCCAAACAACAGCCTCTTGAATGCCGACACGGGCATCTACAGTCCTGGCGAGGAGATGATCCCGAGCCCAGTCCCACATGGAGGGTCGCAGGCAAAACAGTCATGCTTAAAAAAAGTCTTCATCTGACAAATTCACCAGAAACAAAGATGAATTTGGGGGCTGTGGATGTAGCTCAGTGGTAGAGGACACATGGACATGCATTTTTAGCATGTATAAGATCCTAGGCTCAGTCACCAGTGGGGTAGGGAGCAGAGAACAGAGAGATTCCATATTTGGTTCTGGGTTTGGGGCCTAAAATAGCTCCTTATACATATGTAGATGGTCCAAGATGCTTCTCAGGCCAAAATCTAAACTCTTTGGTCCATGCATTTCAGGGTACATGCATCTCCACCTGTAGTAGAAAGTCATACATACCTCTTGCTAAAATCTCCGCAGGTGATAAAACGTGGTTTGACCAGGCATGCGCACACTTAGGGGCAGGCAGTGCATTTATCACAGTGCAGGGTCTCTGTCAATAAGAGCGTTTGACCTGAGGCGGATTTTTCTTCAGTGTGTAGCTTAACTGCAGCCCAGGGAGGTGCTCATCGATCCATCTGTCAGGGGTGTGCTTTTCCTGAGGCCTAGCCATTAGGACTTGCGGCTGCGTGGTGGGAAGAGTGATTCTAGATGGACTGTCACAGTGACTTGTGTTTGGAACCGTAGTTCCTTGGTTGGGACGAAGTTCGGCTGATAGCGGGAGTTCGGAACCCCTGGCGCTTACAACCTCCAGCTTCCCTCTAACGAGGCTCTTGGGAGCTGTGCACACAGGTGAGGCTGCTGTTATGGACCGGTGGGCTCTCTGGCTGGCTGCAGGCCCGTGGAGAAGTTTCTCCACTGGAGGCTGTTTAACCAAAGAGAAGAGAAAGCAGTGGTTGACATTCTCCGTCTGTTTCCGTTTCAGAGTCGGGTGTCATTCAGAACCCCAAAGCTAACAGAGCAGCAGCTCCCACTTCTTAAAACACACCCCTGCCCCCTGCCCCTCCCCCACAGTGGTCAGCCAAGGCAATGCTGAACCTCAGCTAACCAGTCGTAGTCATCTGCATGCTCCAGAGTTTAACCCAGCTCCCAACGTTGGGATGTGTGATCTGAATTAACTCAAGCCCTCCTCAGCTTAGCCTTGTCGTCGTCTCTGGGAATGTATATACTTTGTAGAGCCCACACTTACACAGGCACTTAGGTTGTGTGAGTTAGAGTTCATTACCTAAGCTAACAGGGCTGACTTGAACAGTGCGAACATTCTGGGCCACACCCTGGCCACTGACCACGTGATCTGCCTCTCTTTGCACAGGCTGGGTGAGGTGCAGTACCACCATCAAGAAGAGCAGTGTTGGAGGCCTCACAATGCTCTTCGCTGGCTACTTCATCCTGTGTTGTAGTTGGAGCTTCAAGCAAATGAGTAAGCCGTCATCATCGGTAGCTTAAGTGACTCGTCACCTCCCTTGGGGCTCTGGTGGGAGTATCCAGGAGCCCTGATGAGCGAGCTGTCCCCCGGGCTCTGGGACTCCATTGAAGGTCTCCAAGATTTGACTTACATTTACATGACTGCTCTTGCTGTGCCCATTAGTGATATGGTGGTGGGCTGGAGGCCTTGGGTTTGTTGGTTTTTCCTGCTTTATATGCATCCCTGCTAGGGAGAGGTGCCCTCCTTGGTGCCTGAGAGTTCTCAGTGGGATAGAAGGGCTTTCTGCCACTTAGAGCAGGAGAAACAGAATAGTCCATGTGCTTAAGACACAGCAGCTCCATCTATCCTTTCGTTCACTGGGTCTCCCTGTGCAGATCAGGCTAGACTGACCCTCAGCACTCCTGCCCGGGCCTCTGGCCCCAAGCTCTCACTCCGCCTTCCTCAGCCTTCAAGAGCTAGGATGACAGAGCATGCTACCACTCCTGGCTAGAGTCTGTATGCTTTGGGTTTGTTTTTGGTTTTTTGTTTTGTTTTGTTTTTTTCAAGTCAGGGTTTCTGTCTAACAGCTCTGGCTGTCCTGGAACTTGCTTTGTAAAGCAGGCCTGCCTCTGCCTCCTGAGTGCTGGAATTAAAGGCATGCACCACCACCACCTGGCTTTTTTGTTTTTTAATTTAATTCATTTTATTTTTTATGTGTTTTGCCTGCATGTCTGTATACCAAGTACATGTCTGGTGTCCATGGAGGTCAGAAGAAGAAGAAGGCATCTGATCCCCTGGAACTGGAGTTACAGGTAGTTTTGAGGGGCCTTGTGGATGCTGGGAATCAAACCCAAGACCTCTGGAAAATCCAACAAGTGCTTTTAACTTTGAGCCATCTCTCCAGCCCCTGAGCCTGGCTACCTTCAATGCTTAAAAACAAGCTCCTTGAACCAGACATGCTAGTATGTGCCTATAATCCCATCATTCAAGAGGCTGGGGTGGGAGGGGAATGAATTCAGAACACCAGACCGTATTGCCTGTTTAGTTACAGTTGAACTCATGCGAAGTCCTGACCAGGAAGGAAATGCAAAAATTTCTTTTCTCATAACTCAAGATAACTTTTGTTCATTTAAATGGTATAAAAACAGATCTGGGGACTGGAGAGATGGCTCAGTGGTTAAGAGCACTAGCTGCTCTTCCAGAGGACCTGGGTTCAATTCCCAGAACCCACATGGCAGCTCACAACTGTCTATATCTCCACTTCCAGGGACCCCAGAGACACACATGCCTACACCAGTGCACATAAAATAAAAATAAATCACTTATAAAAAAAAACATCTGGAGGCTGGAGAGATGGCTCAGTGGTTAAGAACATGTGTCGCTCTTACAGAGGATCTAGGTTCAGTTCCCAGCACCTACATGGCTGCTCACAAACATTCATAACTTCAGTTCCCGAGTATCCAACACACTGTCCTGACTTCTGCAGGCACCAGGCATACATGTAGTGCATATACATACATGTAGGCAAAAACTCTTATTTAATAAATCTTTTTTAATGTTAAAAAAAAAAAAAAGAGCAGGGCAGTGGTGGTGCATGCCTTTAATCCCAGCACTGGGGAGGCAAAGACAGGTGGATTTCTGAGTTCGAGGCCAGCCTGGTCTAAAAAAATAGACTTAGAGAGTTTAGGGGAAAAAAACTCATAGTTCTTTGGAGACTTCCCAGAAAAAGTTTAGTATTTTTCCATAATTTACCAGGTAGCAGGAGCCTAGGCTATTTCAGATGAAAACTCGGTGTATTGGCTCTCCGGAGGGCAGGTGACCCAGCATGCGTGGGTCTGCAGCACACCTCTGCATGCTGAACATCATGCCATGGACACCAGCTCGTGTACCAGGCATTGGGCTGTGAGTGAAACACCGGATCCCAGTACCAATGAGAAGTCCCAAAACCAAATCGTGTCTCCCTAAAGGCAGTGCTTGCTCCAAGCTGAACCAACCCAAAGGGTTATTTGGCCCCTGCTGTGGTAACAGTCATGGTAGATGTGACCTTTCAGTGTTGGGACAGGGTCTCTCTCTAGCCCAAGTTGCTCCTGTCCTACCCCCGTCCCTGGGTGCTGCTGGGGTTATGCACCTGACTTGGCCTTTTTTGTTGTTCATCTCTGGAGCTAGAAGCTGGGTGGTCTTAGGCCCAAGAAGATTTCTAAGTTTATGAAACAAAAATATTAAAAAAGCGGAGATAGAAACAGCCAGTAAGAGATGCCCTCCCAGGGTCTCACATTTGTCTCTGTTTGTCCCAAGAGCTGCAGCGCTGGCGCAAGTAATGCTGAGCACGGCCGGGGCCGCCGAGGGCGTGACAGACAGCTGCAGCAGCGCGTCTTTAAATGTGTGCTGGGGCGGGAGGGTGCGAGTAATAAAGCGGCTGAAACCACCTTTTCCTTTCCTCTTTTTCCTTTTTGGAGAACAATTTTATTAGAGTTTAAGAGAAGAAATGGGGCAGGCAAGCTGTTAATCTTGGGTGGAGAAGAGTAAAGCCATCATATTGTGCTATATATATATATATATATATATATATGAAAGGGTCCACACTGTAGCCCTGGCTGGCCCACAGAGATCAGTCTGCAGAGTGCTGGGATTAAAGGTGTGGGCCACCAGGCCAGATATAAGTCATTCTTCCACAACACTGTTCATCACTGAAGGAAGTCAGAACAGGAACTCAAGCAGGACAGGAACCTGGAGGCAGGAGCTGATGCAGAGGCCATAGAGGGTGCTGCTTACTGGCTTGCTCTTCATGGCTTGCTGATTCTGCTTTCTTAGAGAACCAGGCCCACCAGCCCAGGGTGGCCCCACCCATGAGCTGCCCCCTCCCACATCAATCACTGATGACCTATGGGCATGCCCACAGCCTGATTTTATGAGGCAGTTTCTCAAATAAGGTTCCCTCCACTCTGATGATTCTAGCCTGTGCCAAGTTGACATAAAACTGTCCAGCACAAAACACTTTTTCTCTCATATGCTGTGTTGTACCTTGAGAGTCTCACCACACACACACACACACACACACACACACACACACACACACACACACCACTGCCTCCCTTTAATACCTAAATACAGAGGTAGGCCACAGGGAAATTGTGTTGCCTGGAGATTTTTACCAAGGGGAGAAGCCCTTTTCTTCACAGTAAGGACCATATCTTCAGGACTATAAGCTGTTTACTGTGGTAAATGGAATTTTCTGATACTTTAACCTTCTGGTTAGAAGTGATATTTGTTTAATGACCTGTCCAGCCCTGAAGCATGTCATCTCACCAGGTGTAGGACAAGAGTGAGAGCCTGCGTTAATAAGGGTTTGGTTGACATCGGTCAGTGTAATTGTAACTCACCCAGGTGTGGTGACCTACAGCTGTAATACCAGCACTCAGGTTTACAGGAAACGGTTTTTTCCAATAACAAAATTATTTAGCTACTAAAAGTGGGGGCTAGAGAGATGGCTCAGCAGTTAGGAGCACTTGTTGCTCGTGGGGGGGGGGGGTTGGGTTCCATTTCCAGCATCCACTTGGCACCTCATAACTATCTGTAACTCCAGTCCCAGGGGATCTTACACTCTTTTCTGAACTCCCAAGGGCACTAGGCATGTGTATAGTCCATACACATACATGCAGGCAAAATACACACACACAAATAAACAAATTTAGAATTTGATTCCCCCAGGACCCACATAGTAGAGGGAGAGATCCACCTCCTACACCCACACATTGTTCTCTGACCTCTAGAATGTGGTGTGCATGTCTCTCTTCCCCCCCTACCCACCCCCACACAAATGTAAGAAAAAGTCAGGGCCTGGGGGTATAGCCCAGAGGTAGCTCTTCCCTAGCATGAATGAGGTCCTGGGTATGATCACCAGCATCAACAACAAAATCAATGCTGAATCTTAAGCCAGGCCTGGTGAAACACACCTGTAATCCCAGCACTTGGAAGGCTGAGGCAAGAAGATCCCAAGTTCAAGGACAGTCTGAACTACATAATGAGAACTTAAAAGCTACTTTAAGGGTTAAGAGAGCTCAGAGGAAGAGTGCATGTCACTGGTGGCCATGGGTTCGGTTCCCTGGCACCACAAAAAATAAAACACAGTGGAACTAGATGTGTGGCTATCACTTGGGAGTTAGAGACAAGGTCACCCTCAACTCTATAGTGAGATTGAGGACAGCCTGGGCTACATGAGACCCTGTATCAAGAAAGCAAGATATCACTTATGTTATTCACAGGCTATCTTAAATTTAATGAGAAAGTTTCTCTTATTTCACTTTTCATAATGAAAATATTTTTTGTTTTGTTTTGTTTTTTGTTTTTCCAAGACAGGTTTTCTCTATGTAGCTTTGGTGCCTGTCCTGGATCTCACTCTGTAGCCCAGGATGGCCTTGAACTCAGAGATCCTTCTGGCTCTGCCTCCCAAGTGCTGGGATTAATGGCATGCACCACCACCGCCCAGCCAGATAATGAAAATATTTTTAAAAAAGTTATATATATAATCTGGGGGATCATTCACCTCTTCCACCCTCAGGGAAGTAGTTGGTAGCACCATGGGGCAGGTGGTATAGGTGCCCTGGGCCTCTGTTCTGAACTCTTAAATTGGGACACATTTGACCTTTCCTGCAGAGATGTGTGCCTGTCCAGCCCAAGAAGGGACGGCTGATAGGGAGGGACTGTTACTTTTCTATTCTACTGCTCTGCTAAGACACCCTAACCAAGGCAACTTATAGAAGGGATTATAGGGGCTTATAGGGTGAGTCCATGACCATCATGGCAGGGAATGTGGCAGCAGCCAGGCAGCCATGGTGCTGGAGCAGTAGCTGAGAGCTCACATCTTGAGACAACAACCATGAGGCAGAGAGGGATAGAGAGGACTAAGTGAAAATGGTATGGGCTTTTGGAACCTCAAAACCCACCCCCCAATGACACACCTCGTCCTAATCCTTCCCAAACATTTCTACAAACTAGGGGGACCAAACGTTCAATTATATGAGCCTGTGGGGACCACTCTCATTCAAAGCACCACAGGGACTCATTCAGATCATCATTTTATAGCTGAGCCTGCAGGAGCAGCTCCACAGCAGTCCACACTTGGACCAGCTAAGACCAGCGGTCCGCAAGAGCATGGGAGTTGAGCAACCGATACCGACTGACCTGGTGGAGTTCATGGGTGCATGCTGGTGCCAGGAGTCCTGCAGAGTTCTGTCACGTGCACTGGGTCATTTTACCTGCATGACAGCCTGGGCACGTGGCTGCTTGTGCTCTAGATTGAGGAAGCGGGCTAGAAGAGGTTAGGCAGTTTTCCTACGTGGCTGAAAACTATCACATAGCATCCTAAAGTGATTCAAAAGGGTAGCAGAACCCTCAAACTGGCCCCTGGGCCCTGTGTTATGCATTGCCTCATCAAAGCCCTCACGCTGAAGGAGGCTAGGTAGCCATCCTCCACCTAGTCCTTCTGCAAGCTGCCTTTCTCTGTACTGGAAAAGTCCACTTAGCTGCCCCTTCTTCCCAGTAAATAAATGGCATTGTGTCTGCTTCGTCATGGTGGAGACTGCTGTCCTGGTCACTGCCTTAGCTCAGTGGGATAAGCCTTTTCTATATGTCCATGCCTAATCCCCCTGTGAGGGGGAATCTTCTATGTCAGCTTGGCTGCAGTCACCTAGGAGATACACCCTTGGGTGTGTCTGCGAAGGTATTAGGTTTAACTGAGCAGAGAAGACAGGCCATGAATACATGGAATCCATGTAACCATGCCACAGTCCATGGGGAGCACCCTCTCTCTGTACTGGGATCCCAGACTTCATTTTAAAAAGAAAAAGAAGCTAATCGCTTTTTTTCTAGGCTTCCTTGAATGGATTCAATACGATCAGCCAGTTCATACTCCCACCATGGTCTCTCTAAGGTGGCTGTTTTGACACATCATTAAAAAAAGAAAAGAAAAGGCACAGAGAAACCCAGTCTTGGAAAAAACAAACAAACAAAAATAAAATAAAATATTTATTTCCAGGGCCAGAAAAGATGGCTCAGTGGGTAGAGGTGTTTAAAAAAGTCTGTGTGTGTGTGTGTGTGTGTGTGTGTGTGTGTGTGTGTGTGTGTGTGTGTGTGTGTGTCGGGGGCGGGGGATTAATACAGCTTCACATAAGACACAATATATTCTCAAATTTACACATACAGGCAAACAGCTGTCGAGCTCAAAGCAACTGTTTGATTGCATTGCCCATTTTGGGGAGCACTAGAGGCCATTGACCCAGAGCGGTCTACAAGAGCCTGGGAGCTGAGCAAGGGTACCGACTGACCTGGTGGAGTTCAGTGCCCTTTGCTCCACTGGTCACAGATGACCCCTCCCTCCCGCAGTCAGCTGACCTCTGCCTGCTCTAATTTTTGGCAGCTTGTTCAGGCACAGGATAGGTTTGAAATGAGCTAGATGCTGTAGGTGGTTTCTGCATCCTGTATCTCACCGGGCTGATGGGGCTCACTGGACCACTATGTGCAGAATTCCCTGGTGAGGCCATGGAGCCCCGTCACTAGGAGGACTTCCAGCTCCCTTGCTAGAGGCTAGGTTTTGATGGCTCCAGCTGGTGCAGCTTTCTTCACTGGCATGGTGGCCTGGGTTTTGAAGAAAAGAGAGAAAGTTAAGATTATACCTTTTTATCAATTCTCCAAAGAAAAGTCCCCGCATGTCCAGGGAACCACAGGCTGGTTTTCTAAAGAATGTATTGGCTTCTCCAGCCTCTCAGGGGTCTTGTTCAGGAGGTTGAGGTGGGAAGACCTTGCAAGTGCAGCAGTTTGAGACCATTATGGGAATTATTGCAAGATCTGGACCCAAAAGACAGAGACTTAGGATTCACATTCAGCTCCCAGATTGCAGACAAGGTATTTCTTGATTTTCAAAGTTCATAAGTCAAACATACAAGAAAATAAAGGGTTCTGCCCTCCTACCTAGCATTCTGGTGAAACTGTATTTTCTTTTTGAAACTAGGTCTTGTGTAGCCCAGAGTGCCTCTCTATATAACCAAGGATGACCTTGAACTTCTGATCCTCCTGCCTCCAAATTTTTTCCCCCAAGACAAGGTTTCTCTGTGTAACAGCCCTGACTGTCCTAGAATTCTCTTTGTAGACCAGGCTGGCCTAGAACTCACAGAGATCCGCCTGTTTCTGCCTCTCAAGTGCTGGGATTAAAGGAGTGCACTATCTGATTGTTTGGTTAAAGAGAAAAATCACAGTGCAGGACAGATAGTAATCTACCTCATAAAGGCATTGTTTATTTTTTATATTTTAGTTAATTATTTTGAGACAGGGTCTTACTATGCAGCCCTAGTACACCTGGACCTCGCTCTGTAGACCAGGCAACCTTCAACTCACAGAGATCCGCCTGCCTCTGCCTCCTCGGCACTGGGA